AGTTATCGAGTTGTTTGGGACATAATATCATTTCATTTCGTAACCCCCTGTATATTACTTATCTTCCACTAATAACTCATCTAAGCTTTCCCAACAACGGACCCCAGACACCTCTTCATATAACGTAACCGATTTGTTACCAAAATAAGAACTACAAGAGAGAGACATATTAGGATCTCGCCCGCTAATGAAATGCAATAATTCCACATTATCATACACCCTGTGAAATTAAAAGAGATGGCATTCGATTAACGCCCGAGCGCCTCGACTAATGTCCAAACTAAACATTCGAATGAATCAATTTTTCGACTGGCCGCGGACTGACCTTCGCCGGTACATTACGGGCCGCACCCTGTCAGTCATCACAGGAGATGGAGCTACCGAACACTTTTTTTTTGTTGATGTAAATATAAAGTTTCTAGTAGATTTCAATTGAATCTGATCTGACCTTTTGAATAACAAAGTAACATTCAAATAAAAGATCTCCAGCAACTGGAATCAGAGCCCTTTAGGGTCATGAAATTTTTTACGTATAGTTTGTTGAAAAAGGAATATGTCAGAATTGGCATCTTGATTATGAGAAATAGAAAGGGCCTTAAATTAATTAACCATATTTTCGAGAAACTCGAGAATAACTGAAATTTGTAATTTTTATTTTATTTCACATTCATTTAATCGTAGCTTGATTTGCAGTTTTCCTTAGCAGTTATCAATGGTAAAACAGTATCTTGGCTGATTGGCACGTTGTTGATTTAACTTCTGTATGTTTTGCGATACACATACCTCGATTCTTGAGATTAAGTCTTCTGGCCGATATTCATTTGCTGTCTATATTGATCCATGCCGTTCTAGTGTATGATTTTCACTAATAACTGGCTTGATTTTTAGGTATAACTTTTTTTCAGATTCAAGGTAACTGTATTTGTATAATATTACACTGTAAACATCAGGTTTTTAGAGTACACCATTTATACTACTAGTATTTATACAAATAGTTTTTGCTGTTTGTCCAGGAATATACTGACCCTATCTTTCTAGAGGTACTATTGACTGTTGTACAATGTCTCATACTATATCGGCATATAGGTGCAGAGGAGAATAAAGAGTGATTTTTGAATTTCCGTTAATAAGTCATGTTTTCCATTTTTTCGTTACACTTTACTAAATCTTTGTACACTGTAAAAAATTTCACTAAAATTTCACTCAATTTTACTCAATAATGTATCAATTACTGTGCACACCCGATTGATTTCACTCTATTAGTATGAGTACAACTGAGTGAAACTATTACATCAGAAATGAGTAAGTTTTATTCAAATCCGAGTTATTGCTAACTATCAATTGAGCGGCTTATGACTCTATTCTGAGTATATAAAACCAATTTAGAGTTTACTTTTTCTCCAATATGATTTAAATTGAACTATTATTGAGTCATTTTTTACTCATACTTGGTTTTTAATTAACCAAATATTGAGTGCAAAAATAAATCACTCATAAATGATTAATTAGGATATACAGCGTCAAAATTAATTTCCTTCGCGGAGCCTCCTCCTGTCCTGGCTGAGATCCACCAGCTGAGACCCGCCGCCGTCGGCTAATGCCTGTTCGATCACGCTTGTCTGGAGCATCTAACGGGCCCCTATCAACTGTGGTCGAGATTACAGAAGCAAATGTAAGTGGCGCCATCTTCACGGCGTCATTCAAATTACTCGAAATTAATATACATTTAAACTCACTCAGTAATGAGAACATTTACACTGATTTAAGTACAAGTGCACCAAATACGAGTTCACGTGAAGAATTTATTTAATTGAGAGTACTCAGTTTTAGTTTAAATATAATCACAAATTGCATTTTGATTTCGTTCTAACTCCATGATGAAGCCAACGGCCTTATTTATTTCATTAAAATTGTCAAGAAATTTTGTGTGTTCTAGCTTTAAGGCTAAATTATTTGTCGTCAACACATTTGAACCAGCATTTTGGTTTTAGAGTTGCTGCAGGGCTTTGTTCTATCCACATTTCCATTTAGATATTAGAGTAGTTTCAAAATCTCATGAGCCGCGAAATGCGCGAAAGGCGTGGCGTATCCACATAATTCTTCTAATAAGCACGTTGTGAAAACATTGACTCAGAATTAGACCACGTGCCTCATTACAACCAGAACTAGGGTGCTCGGACATCAATAAAGTCAACTGGCGAACGTTCGTTATATATATATATTTTATTGCTTAAATTAAAATAATAAAGAATAGAGCATTTTATTATGATATTTGTGATCGGAGCAAAGGCTTGTATACGCTACGAGAGCTCGGGATAGACTGTGAATAATGGATGTAATGTTTTTAGGACGTAAAATAATTTAGGCGACGGTCGGAATTATGTTACTGCGCATATCAAAGTCAAAGCTCATAAGATTTTGAAACAACTCTACCAAGGATTGGGGAAGTAAGGAAAAGCCAAGCCCTAGTTACCTACCTCTTCAATTTGTCCATAAAACTGAGGAGAAATTTTATCTAGCTCACACATTTGACAACTTTTCTCAATTTTGACTCGTGTCTACGACAGTGAGTCTTCGAAAAAGCTTTTCTTTAAATTCTTGAAAGTTTTTGCAGAGCTGCTTTAATTGGAATAGTATCATATCAAATTCAATAGATGATAGCTTAAAGTCAAGAATCAGAACTTCACAGGTTCGTGAGCAAGTCATACATCAAAACACAATGAACTAGTATGCATATCAGATATAAATATCGATCAATGGATCAGATTTTCTTCTGGATAAGAGAATGATACGTTTCTGGATATGAGAAATGATAAGTTTCATTTTATCAATTTTAGACTTTTAAATTACAAGGTCAGGACACTTTTTCACATGTAAAATCGACGTTGGGTCTCGTGCTAATCATTGCTGGAATCAAGATTTCTTGCAACATCTCTTCATAGTTCTTGGTGTTCAGAACAACCGCTACATTTCTTTGTCCGTCAGCACAATGACAATGTCCCAATCAGATCTCAACACCCGAAGGGTCTCCCTCGAGATATTGGGTTTTGGTGATATCTATGACCTCTTCGTGTTCTAGAGCTAAACCCAACAGACCACCGTTGGACTGAACGGGCCCGCCGCTTTTCTACAAGGCCTTCATTTAGACGGATTTTTAACCAAACTGTCGGACTGGTAGGCAATCCGGAGAACGGCAGGACGTGAGCCCCCAGCTAACTCGATTATCTAAGCTAAACGATCGGGCCATTGTGCTCTGACACCGCGTTAACTATATCATTAATTTCGGAGTTGCGAAACTGGCGGTCAGGTACGATGGATAGGGCTTTTTGGTTTCTCGCATTCTCCGCTTGGATAATTCTTAGTTTTGTTTGGCTGACGCGTAAATATTTAATTATGTACTCGGCGGGATATCTAGAGAATTTTGATACAAAGGGGATTGCGAAATTGACGCAAAAATTATATAAAATCTAGAAATATATCTTCACCTCGACTTTTACTAACAATTTTTTTAATGCTGGCCATCCCTCGGAAATGATATAAAACCGTTGATCCCTTGTCCACAGCAATTAACATTTTGTTTTCATCGCCTACTAAACTCACAGTTTTAAATCCGTGACACGGATCTGCATATAATGCCATTTTTCTCCAGAATCGTTTTCTGTAGGCGATTTTCTCAAGAGACAACTTTTTTGTAATAAAACGACCTTTTCAATTTTGCTGTCCGTTTAATAAAATACGACCACTGTAAATGTTTTGATAGCTAAAAGTGGAAGGAAACCGGAGAAAACTATCACCCAGTATATCGATTTGACTAAAGCTTTAACAAATAATACGCCATAATAGTTCAAATAAATGTGCCAAATTTTAACGCGATCGATAAAAGGGATACTAAACTTACTAATTAAATTAATTTTATTTTGACAACTTTTTTTTCGTAGACCGTATTTATTTATCGTCGTAAATATGCAGTCGAACGTTGTCGGTGAAATTTGCGGACACCCTGTATAAGATTTTTACGTAATGATTCTGTACTTATCCAATAGAATGTATTCTGTATCAGAGTTGCAATAATGTACAGCTTGATCTACCTTTATACACTGTAAAAAAATTTCACAATACAATAATGTATCATTTTCTGTCCACATCCGATTCAGTGAAATTTTCACTGTATTAGTATGAGTGCAACTGAGTGAAACTATTGCATCAGAAATGAGTGAGTTTTACTCAAATTCGAGTTACTGCTAACTATCAATTGAGCTACTTTTGACTCTATTGTGAGTATATAAAACCAATTTTTTTTTCTCTAACATGTTTTAAATTTAGCTATTATTGAGTCATTCTGAGTATATAAAATCAATTTAGAATTGACTTTTTCTTTAATATGATTTAACTATTATGGAGTCATTTTTTAATTAACTAAATATTGAGTGCAAAAATAAATCATACTCATTAGAATATACAGTGTTGAAATTAATTCACTTCGCGGGGGCCTCCTCCTGTCCTGGCTGAGACCCGCTAACTGAGACCTGCTACCGCCGGCTAAGGCCAGTTCTTCTGGCGATCACGCTTTTCTAGAGCATCTAACGGGCTCCTATTAACTGTGGTCGAGATTACTCCGAACCTTTATTGCTTTCACTAATGCAGATTTTTTTACAGTGTAGGTAAATAAAGTATGACAAACAGAATGTGCCTTAATAGTATTAATGCCATTGAAAGTACGTAGTATTACTTGCCAGGTAATTAGCAAATGTTCTGTTAGACATATGTATTTAAATGTACTTAAAGTTCTTGTTATTTTTTTGATAACTTCAGAAACAACAAAATTACAAGTAAATATTCACTTTATATGACTCTGTACATAAAATACAAAATATTCTTCACGTATTTCGATATTCTGTTCTAAAAAAGGACAATCAGAGAAACATTACGCTGAAACGAATACTAATTTATTTATATTTATATTTTCTAATATGAATTTTAATTCTTTATTTTCTTTACAGATTTTTTAGAACCGTTGATGATTTCATGAAAAAATATGCAAATGATCCAGGTAAGTTCATTCTCTTATTTTTAATGATTGTCGAATATTTTTTGTTACAATTAGAACCTATTTTGTGTTATATATCCGTGTAATAATCGTACATTTTTGTTTTACAATACCGACTTATAAATGTTTCAATTTATGTTTGTTTATATCATCAAATTGTATTAATTTTTATTTAATTTTCTGTAATTTCTCGACGTAATAAGCCTTATTGATGTTTTCAGTGTTTATATGAATCATTGAAAAAAATATAGGAGTGATTTTTTCCAATGTAATAGTCTTAAGTAAATAAAGTCGATTCCTTAGACCGTTTTAAGAAGAAAGGTTAGTTTTCTAGATACAAATATTTAAGAAACATAATTTACACAAATATCTATGAAGAAAAATATACAGGAAGATGGGGGAAAAATTAGTAGAATACGAATACGTGATTTAAAAAAATATATATTTACGTTGAAAGAAATATGTGTTTTCAAAAAATTACAGAACTAATGTAAAATAGATGCTATTGTTACCTTTTATACATTGGTCATCACAAAGCAGTTTATCTCGACAGCAGCCGGGTCATTCGCTAGAAATTAAGAGGGTTTATGAAACAAATATCAAAGTTACTGTTCTGTCCGTAAAAACAAATAAATAGGTAACGCACCGGGGGGGTTACACTTTAGAATTCAAGGTATATCCTTCCATACGTTTCCTTTATATTAATTAGCAAATATGTATCATTCTTTCTTCAACAACTAGCTAGTGTTACCTGAAATAAGTCGAGACACTACCGGGTGTGTGAGTCATACTATTATTATGTCACCTACCTCAACACCACCACCCAGTATGTGTTAATCGAAGCGCATATAAGACCCCGTACAACTTACAAGTCACACTTCGAAGGAACCACAGCTATTAAGACCGGAAACACGTGGCGCGCCCTGGAGTTTTCAAAAACATTAACAAGTATAGCATATTACTCACAAATTCACAATAATTCATTAAACAACATGTATTCAAGCTAGCACACAACTAACCAATAAGAACAACCTCTCTTAGTTTCGGCATTCTGGGCTACATTATATACTCATAAATTACATTATCTCAAGGGCAAATAAACACTTGGCTGGCACATTCCGTGTGAACAGCTGAGGTTTGATTCAAAGCAATCACGATAGCTTTCATTTCATAGTAAAATATATATTGATTCCTATTATTACAATACTTAAAAAATAAACAAGTGTTAAACAGATATAATAATTGTTTTCGAATGTTAGGTTAGTTAGTTTTATAATTGAATATGAGTTTTTAGTATTATCAATTAATTATTCAGTTTGTAGTACGTATTGTATGACTTATTGCTTTTCAAAAAGTAGTATGGTACCTACCTGTTTAAAATAACACTACGGTTAAAAAAACTCACTCATTACTTTGTTAATAAAGAATCCGCGATGCTTTGATTTTGAAACCTATTGCAAAATTAAAGACGACTGAGGAAATCAGCTGTTTCTCTTCAATGTTCGAATGCTTTGTTCCCTGTTGCGAGTTAATGGGAGTCAAAGGTAATTTGCTTATTTTTTAAAAGTCTAGTAAATTGTTTTTTCGATTTTCTGTCTTTTATCAGGCCATCCGAATACGTGATTAAAATTAATATCGAACATGAGCAAAAGAAGTGATTTTAAAGACGTGCTAAGATTGCTAAGTGCCGCAAGTGGCGCCCTCTAATAAGTAAAACCAAAATTCAGATCGAATTTGAATTCTTTGCCACAAAAACCTCGGATCCTCAAAATATGTGCAATATTTGTAATTTTTAAACGGTTATTTAAAAAAAATAAAAACAAATTTTTCACCTTGACGTCCTGTATCTTCTTAAGTATCAACTTTTGGTTAATTCGTAATATTTTCGTGTGTAGAACCAGTTGCCGCTCCATGTACCATTACTTATGGGACACCTTGTATAAAATTATAAGGGTACGAGTCTATTCGAGGGGAATTCGTGAGAGTTAGTGTTATTACAATCCGTATACAGTTCTCTGCTGTATCCGAGGGCAGTGCCACCAATCTATAACTCTTTCGTAAAGTTCCTTTCGGGAGCACTTATCAATTCCTGCCATTTGTGTTTACCTGATCTCATTTGCCGTATTACAATTTATGGTGTTTACTGCGCTTTTGCGGTCTGATCTAATAAAATACAGAACGAGGAAGGCGTCGCCCATCTCTCCGATTCGAATTGATGTTTACGAGAGGCTGCGATAAGGATGTTTGTACGTTTACGCGACGAGCGACATAGTTGACAATACCGGGCATTATTAAAAAAATTAAATGTGGTTTTTGACTGCCGTACGAAATTTTTATCGTTTTATAAATACTGTAATCAATTCGGGGTGTGTATCGACAGGCATTGATTTTTTTGTGGACAGGGACGTATTAATCAAAATTTACTTTTGCAAAAAAATAGGAAGATAAAGAATTATAATTTTGTTCCAGGATCGTTAGTTTTCCTGGATTTTATGTCAGTCTTATATTACTTCTCTTAACCAATTTATACAGGGTGTCCGGGAAAATGTGGGAAATCTCTCGAGTGCAGATAGAACATGATAAAAGGACGCTGCTGGAAATCGGTTTTTCTTGAATAATTTTTAAAGTACTTAGTATAATTTAATACAAATTTTATGTGAAGGACACTAGTAAGGACCTCTTAAAATCGTGTCCTTGAATCATATTTAGCTTTTTTAGTTTACCAGGGGCGGGCTAAGTTTTACAACATAATGCCTACATTTTTAACACTCTGTGTGATAAAGACTTTAAAATAATAAACCTGGGTAGCTTCAACCTTAGACTAAAAAAAGGTACCCTTGTTTATTGTCAATAAAATGAATCGTTTACGAGAAAAAGAATAATAAACGAATTCATGTTTTATTTTTTATAAAAAGGGCCATGATTTCTATTTTTTTTTTATATGAACATCATCATCATCATCTTATTTTTTCATGTTCTATCTGCACCCGAAAGATTTCCAACATTTTCCCGGACACCCTGTATATACGTCAACGTTTCATGTTTGTTTTTGCAACATCTTCAAGACTCATAAGACTTTTAGACACCAGGAAATTTTTCGAAACAATCAGTATTTACTAAGTAAGTAAATGATATTATGGTACGATCAGTATGATATAGTTGGTCCTTATTATTTTTAATTTAAGACTGACAAAAAGAAACCATACTTATATAATCCTCAAAACGATGAAGATTCGGATCTGTTTGTAATATTTAATTGCCCTGACCAAATCTTTTCACAGCTATTTTATTCGGGGCGTTACTTCTACCGAAAATTCCACGTAATTTTCGCACAGTCTCGGCTACACTCTCTCCGTACATGTAATGAATTTTCAAATTCTTCACTCGCTCGTCCATACAATTCAAATCCTGCCATCTATTTTTCGATGATGACTTAATTCTATCGAATTAAAAAATAAATCAAAATTCTAAAAAACACACGCCGCATTTCGCTTCAAGTACTTTCCGGTACATCCTAATCTGTGGAATTGCGGTTAACAGGTCGACATTTTTTTACACAGCACAAAAAATGGCTGGTGACACTCCTAAAGTACTTTGTTGAAAGCTTATCGCATATCTGGCGAACAACACCAACTTTATACCGTACACAAACACACATCGAATCTTATCTCAATCTAAACAATCTGTCAGCTGAACGTAAATATATGAAATTAATCTTGTAAGAACATTCCATAATCAGTTAACAGGAAAAGTTGGCCTAATATTCGGTTGAATGTAAGAAAATCATGTTTCAGAAGGAGTTCTTTGACTGTTCAACTTGCTACGAATGTATCTGCATTTTGTCAGAGTTTAATTCTATAATATTCGCTTCTTTGTCTTTGTTATAATTTGGTAACTATACACTGTGTCGCAAAATGATAGAACAAAATTCATATTTTTTACCAGTTGAAATTTAAAAAAATCGCTGAAACAGGTTTAGACAAGGGCGGATCTGTTTTGAGGTGGATGTGAGAGGGGGCAAGCAAATTTTTTCTGGATTATCTTCAGTACAACTCGCATAATAAAAGTGTAGATCCCTGAACTTGGGCAAGGTCCGCAACATTTTCAAAATTGCAAAAAAGTTTAAATTTAAAAAAATGCCTATTTATATATATAATATTAAAAAAAAAATTGAAAAATTTGAAAAATCGACCAGATCTAGGGATCTACATTTTTATTATGTGACTTGTACTGAAGGTATTCCAGCAAAAATTAGCTTGCCCCCTCTTATATCCAAGAAGTGGAATATTTCGACAGATCCGCCCTGGCCTAGTTAATAGAAATTTTCACTTTTCTGCAATATGTATTTTCTATTTTGTTTTAGCCATCTTTGACAGACCTACAACATTACCGACATTTTTTTTAAAAAAGACGCTCTATATGTTATAGTATAAATTGATAGCCCTTTTAAAGACGAATTTAGCGATATCAAGTTATACCACAGAGCACCTAGTGTATACCTGTATGTTTCCTATCACAAAGTATGGGAACTGGTCAAGCCAAATTGCGGGGAAGTGGAGTGTGCGAGGTAATCTAAACGCGCATACTTTGAACAGGTCCGGGTTAAGCACATACACACAATTACACTTATGACAAATATTCAATTTTCAAGTTTGGAATTCAGAAAATAATATATTTTAATGTCTTGCTTATATTAAATTTAAATATATTTATTGTCCATTAAATAATGTCAGTTTATTTAATATTTGTTTTGTAGTAGATTTCACTGAATTAAATATTTTAATTTAACTTCATGATTTATTCTCACATCGATATACTTTTCACATACACTGAGAAAACATTTATTACTCGTCTACAAAAAGTACCTTCAGACTTTAACTTACAGATAGACTGAAAATCCGTAACATTAGCAAAGACATCTATGTCCCAAATACCTGAGTTAACATGTTTTAAGTTAATATTTGTAATAATATTATCAAGACAAGACTTACAAGTTGGGGTGA